CAGGTCCGTCAGGCCGGGGGAGGGGGGTTTAACGTAGGGAATATGATACATGGTACACCACAGGTCAGCAGGACGTGGGATGGATGATTGATGCTCCCAAGTCCGCTGAAGCATGTGCTGAGCTTGTAGCACCAGTCACACCAACAGCAAAGTCATAAACCGTGGGTGCAGGGTGAACGAAAGTGCTTCTCGACTTGCCATGTCTCTCTTGTTCTTGATGCCAGCCATGTCAGCCAGCCCACGCTACCCTACGAAGGTGGCGCCAGGCGTGGGAGGTTCCAGATATGCCCAGCTCTCTGCCCACTTGCCCACCTCCCAGCACGAATGAGCATGGGCAACCTGGAGGGGCGGAGGCGAGGGGCGGAGTGGGAGTATGGGTGGGGGTCGCGCGCTCGCTCTCTCTCTTTCTTTCTCTCGCACGCAACCGCCTGGCCGATGCGGCCCCCATTCTGTGTTTTCCAGTACAGTAGGTAGGTGCGCAAATCGATGGGTGCGGTGCAGGTGTGGATCTGGGCGTGGTCGGCGTGTCTTCTGCCTTTCAGCCTTTCCAACGGCATCCATCAATCATTTCAGTAACTCATTCGCTTGTCGCTTCTGGCATCCATCCCACTGCCCTCCCACCCCACTCTTTTCCTTTGGCGGCGCTGGCCGACGGGCCTCTTCTCCTCTGGTGCTTTTCTGTTTTGTGTTCAGCCTGCCTGACTGCGTGGCTCGTCAGCATCCATTTAGCACTGTGGTTTGGGGGGGTGTCTTGCGAAGTGGCTGAGGGGTCAGGTGTCAGACGTTGTTCGTCTGGATGACTCGGCGACCAGGAGCCTGGCGAGTGTGTTGAGTGAAGTGACCGTTCAGCGAGGCAGGACGAAGGTGTCTGCACTGTCGCTGCCCTGTGACGTTGCCGCCACACGCTGTCAGTACGTACTCCGTCCAGCTCCTAGGCAGGCAGTTCCTAAGGTCCCTAGGCAGGCAGTGACTGGACTCGGGGTTCCTGGAGCGGCGGGATGGAGATGCAAGTGCCAGCAAGGACCCCAAGCCCGCCCGCCCCCCCAGGAAGGACGCGAGTGCGAGGGCGACGTGCGGGCTGCCAGGATTGTCAGGGAACACAATTACGGTGAATCAAGAACGCCAAAACATCCCGTTTCTTCGTCCTCCCATCAGAGGCTTGGCTAGGCTTGCACGATCCGTCGATGGCCAAACATGCCGACGGGACAGGGATGGTGGCAGTTCTCTCGCCGAGACCGCCTTTTCGTTCGCCCTCCCTTCGAGTCACGATGCTCGAGTTGGGTCATTCCCAGAAGAGAATAGGTTTGGTAGTAGTCATTTGCCGCCGGTGGAGGCAGCTTCATCTTGATGTCGCGCTGTCATCATCGCTTGCGTCGCTTCTTCCACACCGTACTGGGACCGAGGAGGGGGGATCCCCGAATCGTCGCGGCGGATCGAGAAGACTACTATGTAGATTGATTGGGGGGCCGAAAGCCGAGGGCATTGAAGAAGGGGTATCCTCCGGTGAAAACCGGGTCCCTCGTCCGCGCCGCCCAGGGGTGGAAGAACTGGGCTGTACAGTAAGTACAGCGCACGTACGGGATAGAAAGGAACTGTCGTGAGTAATGACCAGACCAGGCGAGCCACCCCTCGGACGTGACGCTATGCGTCGACAGCGGGTGCTACAGGTGGCCACGCGCGCGAAATGAAGCCGAGTGCAAAGGCTGGCTGGCCACTGCGCCGGGCCTCATCTTGGTGTTCAATTCCTTGGCAATGGAGTCTGCCATTTCGAGCTTTGACCCCATTGAGAAATGATCCGAGAAATGCAGCGGCCAACCGTCGATCGTCGGCAGAAAGTCGGGCCTCATGCCGGGCCTTATGCCGGGCTTTTTCTGCCTGGTCGTCCACCAGTCCTCCACATTGACGGCGAGTGAGAGGAAGCCCTGGGTTGTGCCATCACAGCCCTTGGTGGGGTCGAATCGAGAGGTGTTACCACCAGTTCCGTCTGTACAGGTATTCCGATTCCTCACAGCCGCACTACCAACGCCCTGACCCATCTCTTCATGACGGACACGGGCTTGTGCATTGGCGGTGCAGAAATATGCAGGTGCAGACACGACACACGCAGGTGCCGGTGCCGGTGTCGGAATGGAAATTGGAAGCCTCAAAATTACACATGAACTGTATCCAGCACCTCATCAGGCTATTGATGGTTTGCATGTTACAAGCGTGCATCTCGTCTGAGCGGAGGTGCACGGGCAAGCAGGGTAAGGGGGGGGGGCGGGGCGGGGGGTCGGCAGCAGTCGTGGCCAGCAAGTCAGGTACAAGACTTCTGGAAGCCTTGTGTGGTCAACCAATCGGTGTTTCTCTAAGCTCCCTCCCTACCTAGTCACACGTCCCGACTTCTGCTTGGGGGGACGTGAAGCACAGACCTCGCCCTCTCGTCACCGACCTGTATTTTCCAAGCTCTCCTAGGGCCAGAAAATTTTTTCCTCCTTCAACGTTGACGAGATACTTCAGAGCTACGACACTGCAACCATCTCACAAAACCAACGGACTGAAGCCACACTCGCTCAACTTGCCCTGTTGAGCCATCTACTCTTCTTCTTCGACTCAGTATGCAACACCACGACCAGAAATATGGAGTGGGCGCACCAGAACATCCCTCGTAATGCGGTTTGCTGCTTCCTCCCTCCTCCAGCCAGGTTTGTTGTTGTTGCTGCTGCTGCTGCTGCTGCATCAACATAACCCTCTACCTGCCCGTCTGACCAGACAGGCACAGCAGACAGGAAAGTACGAGATGGTCTGCAACCCAACGATAGGCTCGCCGGCAACACCGGCGCCCGTTCGGCCTTGCCCTCGGTGGCTGCAGGTTCTTGCTTCAGCTCTTTTATGGAGCGCCCGAGAAGACGACATTTCCCCCCACGTTCTTCAGACACTAACCACGCTCACCGAGCGAGTGTCCAACGGATTCCCCGCACCCGCTCTCTCGTTCACAGGATCAGGACTGGTCAATCATGTGCTAGCCTGCCCGCCAGCATGTCCTAGTCCTATCACGGCCCCACGTTGCTGTCCATCCACACAACCATGCTTCACTTTCGTCAACAAAGTGACAAGCCATAACTGACAGCCACCCCGCCTTTCCCCCCATTCGTTCCACCAAGCTTGACTACACCGACATCTGATCGGCACCTCCCAACGCCGCCCGTCCGTCCGAGTTTGCACTCATCGCTTCATGCGCTGGTTGGGTTGTCACCGCACTGGCGCTTGCTCTTTTGCTCACAGCGCCTTGATCCCAAGCCTGACGGACACCGCGCTGCTGCCGTCTGATCTATGGCGACTTGCGGGCCGCGGTCGGGTCTTTGCGACGGCTCAAGCGTGCGATGGTCGATCTGGATCCATATTCGTTCTACGTGACTTGCTTAGTTTAGAGAGTTGCCAGTATTTTTACGCTCTGCGTAAACAAAACACAATCCTCAGCTCTTCCAGTTGCTGATGCGATTTATACAATCTGGCATAGAGCGAATCACCCGTTGCTGGGCACCTGGCTTTGAGAGATCGTCTTGGTCTTGAAGATAGGTTGGGAATCAGCTGAGGTAACACTCCACACAGGGGAGCGTGCGATTTGTTTTCTGTGAGTGACTGCACGTTAGATGAGCTGCATCCCGTGAATCGCAGCGAATGCTGGGGGAATTACCCCTCCTCCCCTGCCTGGGATGGGACGCCCTGTATTTGACACTCGACGAATCGTGACTAGACGGCATGGCATTGGGGTGACACGAAAAGTCCCAACGTATACAGTACATTGTGTTACAGCATTATTACTTTTGTACACCCATCACGCTGATACAGCGGTTGCGGCATGCCCGCTGCAGGCCCCAAGCCCAAGGCCCAGTTGCAACAACACCCCTGCCCCCGTCCCCTTCTCCCCCCGCGTCTTCTGCGTCAACCAAACTTGACTCGCTCGAGGAACAGCCAGGCGCACACACACGCTTTGGCTGTTTGCAGGCTCCAGCTACATATCACACAGCGCCAGCAAGTCATCCTACGCCTGCCCATTGCTCGCCCAGATGGTCCAGACGCTTTTAAGATAGCCCGCTGTCAGGCAATATCTAGGGTCAAAGTTCGTGTCCTCGTGCGCCGCCGGCAGGCGATACGTCGGCAGTCCGTCTTCGCCAACCTCTTCGGCGGCGGCGGCGGCGCCGCCGCCGCTCTCAACCTTCGCTTTCAGCTCTGGCGCCTGCTCCGACGCCTGCTCTTGCTCCTGCTCTTTTCTTTGGGGAAAAAAAAACGCCGCAAATGCCCGCAAGTTGCTGCCCCCCCCTCTGAGCGTTTGGGCCATGGAGGCATATTTTTTCCGCACCGTTTGCCGGAAAAAAAAAAAACCCCCGGGTTGCGGGGGAGGTGGATAAATCCCCGCAACCTCCTGGGGGAGGGTAAACCCCCCTTTTCTTT